GTTTCTTGAGCAGCAAATCAGCATATTAGAATGATTTCTGCAAGACTGGATTAATGATGCTGAAAATTGTGGCTTTATGTTATATCTTTTTATATATGTTATATCTTTTTAAATTGGATGCTTTAAGTAAAAGTGAAGCAAAATGTGCAATGGCACAGTTTGATTAGCTTGTTAGGCGATCATACAGGCTTTTTCTTGGACAAGAAATTGTTGTTTGTTTAATAAGGGGAAAGATTTAGGTCAAGATGACCTGAGAAATATGTACCTTGCACTGTGATGGTCTCAATGAATTGGCAAGGAGTAAAAAGTGCTGTTTGCTTTACAAATGTAATTGAATAAGAGTGTAAATCATTGATGTTTCTCTAATGTTTGATTTAACTCTCTTCTCCAGCTGGTATGAATGCGTTCTTCACTGTTGATAACTATCCTGAACCTGTGGTGGCCCCGATCCCAGACAAACGAAACGTCATACATGCTGGGGATGAGGAGGAGGAGGAGGATGAAGACAACATGTTTTCCATTGTGTTCAAGCAAGGAGGCCCAGTATCAGTGCTTCGATCGAGTGCCAAGGGAAGACCTAAAGTGTGGGTTCATTACATCGCTGCAGAGGAGATAGACTGGGACTATTCGTCTCAAAGCGGCGACCGGTACGTCCTGATGTCCTGAGATGAATGATGTGAAACTGACTGAAACTAATGTTGATTTTCATGCTTCAGGCCTTCATCGTCGTCAGCAGCAGAATCTGAGTGGTTCAGAAAAGGTCCTCAGCGCTTAGGTGGCATTTATAAGAAAGTAGCTTTCGTGGAGTATACAGACAAGACCTTTACTGTGAAGAAAACCACCAGCAAAATGCTGATGGGCCCAGAGCTCAGAGGGGAAGTGGGAGACAAATTTCAGGTAGGAAATGTAGATTTATAGGGATAGTTCACCCAAAACCCATTTATTCTGTTTACCTGTATAAATGTATTTCTTTCATGGAACCCAGAAGGAAAAAGACTGGTCTGACTTTTCCAATTTCCAATTGATACTGAAGCTTTTAAGCTTCAAAAAAAGTAAAAATCACTATAAATGTATCATATAATTAGTCCGTATGACTCGTATGCTATATTCCTAAGTGATCTAAAGTCATTAGATAGCTTTCTGTGGGGAATATCTGTTGTTATTCACGAATTATCTTCCAATCCAGTGAGTTCTTTAACCGCTGGACAAGATAATTCACAGTTCCTCTAGATATTTAATGCCGCAATGAGACGACAGCAGTAAAATATTTTTGCATCCATATTATGAAGTACATCTTAGTGAAATGGATTATTAAAAAAGAAAAAAATGTATTGTGAAACATGCATGGATGAATTGTTCACAATAAGATCAATAAGACACATTCAGAAAATACATAAGATTGTTTACTTCATGCTGACTTTAAAGTGTTAAACTGAGATGTGATACATTTTCTGAAATTCACTCTTTTGTATATCTTCATCAGATTGTTTTTAAAAATATGGACAGCCGACCATTCAACATTTATCCAAATGGCCTGACCAGCGTTCTGCCTTTGAAGAACGCAAACAAGGGTACGAGGCACTACATTTCATGTTTCTTTTTTTTTCACATTCACATTTAAAGGAACACGCCCCTATTTTTGAAAATAGGCTCATTTTCCAACTCCCCTAGAGTT